ACCGTTCCACACAGAAGAGGACTCTCTAACCAGAATACGGTGCCAATTTGGTCCAGGATGGGCGTCGACTCAATCTATTAGATTTCAAGACGACTTGAGAGACAACCGCACTGCCTGTAAAGATGTCCAGGGGCAACTTCATGAGAGAATTTTGCGACCGCTTTCAGGCAGTCATCCGCAGGAATTCATTTAGCTTTCTCTTCAGGTCGAGGGCCAGGGCGTGAACGTTTTCGTAAAGCCCATTGAGGAGGAAGTTTCAAAGCTTGGATTTACGGCTCACGCTATTCCCATTCCTGTCACCAGGATTAAATCTGCGCATGAGATGGGTGGTACGTTCCATTGCTTGATGCATTTGACACGAAACCGAAACATTGCACTACGAAACGATATCTCAACTTGCACAGGTCAACGAGGACCGACCCCTGGCCCAGAAGCCCTTGATTACCGACGTCTCAGGAAAGCGACAACTTTAAGAATGGACTGTTGCATCTCCATCAAGACCCCTACACGTGATCGGGAGTCTCTTGGCTCGGTCGACTTCGCCAACGCTTTTTCGCCAACAACCACGACCGGTCCACGCAGCTTAGCCATATATGCTTTCTTGCTGATGACCACGGCCGCTGCGTTCCGATCAGCTTCAAGTCGAACAAGTGCGAACGGGTTGTCTGCTCTGCCATGTCTGGAGAGGTCATCGATTTCAGCGACCTATTTGATATCGCTGCCACCCTCGTCTCTGCGCGCAGAAAGATCTGCGGCCGTTGGATCCCGTTTCAGCTGGTCATAGATTCCATGTCCCTCTTTGATGTGATTTGAAATGGTTCTCGGACGTCCGAGACGGCCACGATGCTCGAAATTGCCGCTGCCCGTGAATGATTTCGTCATAAGGTGATATCGAACGTAGAGTTTAATCGCAGCTCGAAGGATATCGCCAACAGTCTAACCAAGTCGATGTCTCAAGCCGTTTTGAAAGATGTGGTACCTTTGGGACTCCTATATGTTCACCCGGAGCAGTGAATACTTGGCAACTATGTCCAAGCTGCGGTCCTTCCCCGTTTTCGTTTCCTCTCTCAAACAGCAGCCCCCTCAATTCCATTTTTTACCCTTTACCTCTAGTAATTCTATCACTTGTAGCTTTACCGCACTGTCCCTGCTGCAATTCCATCCGAAAGCTCAAGTGCTCTCGGCTCTGAGTCGATGACGACCCTATTTTGTGCATCCACCAGAATTACGTGATCCACCCGCATTCCTTATTGGACTCGAACGATGAAGACTCCTGCTCGCTTTGCGGCAACAACTCGACAGCGTACTGCCCTTTCGATGCCCTGGATGGTCCTCCAAACCTCCTCGTCATACACCATGCGTCAGTTTGTCTCTAATTCTCGCGCCTTGTAGAAGATTTCACAAAGTCCCTTGAAGTTATGGAATATCTCCGATTACCCCTTCAACACTTTCTCTTACGCTTCTACTGGTACAGGTCCACGGAAAGCAAACGAGGTGTTGATGGCGGTCGCCCTCACGCAGTCGTGCGTCTTCGAAATACATCATGGCCGTCCAATGGCAAGCCTCCGACTTGACGCACGCCACGCCACTGCCTCACGCACGCTAATCCCGGATACCCAGACTACAAGCCCCGGCGACGCTGCATGAACTCAAGGACGAGTCACGCGGCTTCTTCTTCTCGCGACTGCCGTAATACTGCCTTAGGCCGGGTAGGCCCCACACGCGCTGGCCGGGGTCGGCCAAGCCCGAACACTCGCAACCCAGGAAACAGGAAGGTCTGCAGAGTGATTTAGCCGGCACTGGCCCCCGAGAAGATGCTGAATTCCCATTCCACGGCGTAGAAGGCTTCGTCCGGCGCAGTGCCCTGGGAACTCGCATGCAGCACGACCTGCCTCGCGCTGCACCCACCACCCGCGCTCTTCCATTCCACGATCACCATGGCCGCAAACAGTCACCTCCGCACCGCTTCGTACACGGAAGTTGGCCTTTAAGATCCGATCGGGGCACGCTTTACCGCAGGAGAGCTGGCCATCAGCTCAATTTCGAGTAAAGTTTCTGCAACGCCGACCCCTTTGGACATTTATCCCGTAACGCAAGTTGTGGATCCCGGGGCGGAACTGGCACTCACAAATCCTGCGATTGCAGCACTGAAACGCACCCCGAACGTCTGCTCGGACGCGGTCAAGGGTCCAGTGATTTTCGGGTGCATGCTGCCGGGCCTGGGCACCTTTCACGATTTGGTCACCTGCCGCTTCTTATCGCTTCGGCTCCCGAAGCGATCGGCGCTGGGAGCCCTGTCTCTGACTTTCCTGTTGACTGCACGCGGCGCCATGGTTGCTACGTAAAGTTCCCTTTTCGCAAAGTTCCCACCCTGAAGATCCGAAGCCCGCAGCAGTTAGTTTCGCGAATGTGCTCGGTACATGCGGCGTACCGTCAAACTGCAAATTGGCCGCCACGTGGGCGCTTACAGAAAATGGGCTGTCAGCTCACCGTCTCCGCTGACGGCATGCTTTCACGGACCTCTATGTACAACGCGCACACTCAGTTCACTCCGTAGGATCTGATTGAACGATACACACATCAGCAAAGCTACCCCACGCTGCTACAGTTTGCGAAGGCCTCATGGCGGAGCCTGTTATCACTCGGAAAGGCGCAATGCCGGATCATCTCACTTCTCCCTTCTCTCTCTTACTACCTCTTTCCCTCGTGCGGCTACTCAGCTCCCAGTTCGTACAGGAAGCAGCAAAATGGACGCAAAATGACGTCTTTTGACGACAGTCTTAATGCAATTTGTGGAGTGCCCTTGCGTAAGCCTTGGATGTTTTCTTCCCAACAATGCTTGGCATGCAGCGCAAATCTCATTTTAAGGCCTTTGGCTCACACATATTGGTAATGATGGATATGTTTGCGGCTAACGGACTGCTCTGGGACGCATAAAGCTTATAAAAAGTGTACAGTTTCGGAAATTGACTGGAAAAGGGACTTAAAACGTTTCTCATATCGTTCCTTTTGTCGAGAGGTAAATGTATCGAACAAACCTTGCAATTTCGGCTCGTGCTTTCGGAACGTGCTAGAAATACTTTTCATCGTTGTCAATTCAGTTACTGTTTGAAACCTTGCACCAATCTCTGACACGAAATGGTCATGTGCCTATTGGGCATACGGAAATATGTATGATCGAGTGAAGATTTCACATCCGACTTCTGATCGACTCACTCAAGGGTACCTTCTGATTTTGAGAACTTTTCGGTGCCTATATTCGCTACTTACTTCGTAAGTCGTATGAGTTAAGTCTTTCAGATCTTTTTGATCTGACACTGACAAGGCGAGTACGGGAGGAGGCGCTGTGAAGCAAGGCCTATTGGAGGAAGGGCCGCTCTCAGCCCAATTGTTTGAGCGTGTACAAGTACAGTGCCTTCTACGACATAGTGCTATAGCGTGACATACCTCTAGCTATGGCACTATTGGAAGGATGGCACTATATAAAGGAGGCTCATATACATATATTAGGGGGCAAAGCATATTGCTAAAAGCCTGTAAACCACTACTAAAAACGTATAACTTCAATCCTTTGAGTACTGAGTACTCGTCGCCATATTTTCCCGCCGTTGCACGTCCACATCGTAACACTGAACCATGCCAGATGATACACATGTGGGATTATGATAACCTGTACCAAAGAGTGAGCCATAGCACTATATAGAGGGAGGCACTACTAAAGACGGCACTATTGAGCGACCCCCCGCTGTACATCAGTCTGAAACTCGAATGAGCAATGATGGGCTCTTCTTAGACCAGATGATCGGCCTTCCATCCCAACGGCTTGAAAAGGGCATTAGGCGGTTTGACTACATTACAACTATCTAAGTGTAGTTGGAAATCCAATGGGGGCCACGCATTGAACGGGTATGGCCGAGAAGCAAATCTGCTGCACACGTTGATAAGCGGGCCAACTTAGGTCACTTGTCACCTAGACAATGGCTCTGCATGAGCTATCCAGGAGGCTCATAACGCGCTGACTACTCAGAAAAACAAGGAATACTGAAGATTTCTGTGGAATCACATTGTCACCGTCTACAAAAACACAGCTTATGTGGCACTGTTTGGAGGCCGCTGGTACCGCTGCCGGTCAGGAGCTCTGACTGTTCTGACTCAGAACAGTCCAGAGCATGTAAGGAGTATTGGCGGGAAAGAGGACGCCTCAGTTCGGCCCAGAAACTTCAAGCCAGCAACGTATTTTTTTCTGATTTTTTATAGATCTGTTGAGCCGTTTTTCGAACAGCTCAGAACTCGTATAATTGGGATGGCCATCCTCTGCCCCAGACATACCGTCGTCGATCCTCAGCGGACAGCAGTTGTTCGAAACCTGGTCACGCTCAGGAATTGAACTGCGGTTGCGACTAACAAGTGATTTCCCCGGGCATTCACTGCACTGCCCCATTGCAATTTTGCACATCGCCAGGAGCCCTTCACCGGTGACTGCTGAAGCTTGCTTACCAAACTGTGGTGTGCTGTTTGGAGTTGCATTGAAACTGTTTCACCAAGACGGGCACTGCCCACTTGCGGTTCGCAATTCAATCGCAATTGAACATCACCCCGTCGAAGTCTGCTCTTGACACCACTGGTCGTGTCATTCAAGTAGGTTCTGTGCGCTTGTTAGAATCTTCCTGCAACTGTGCGATCAAGAAGGGATTTGCGCGCTTTGGATACGTTGTACAAGGCGATAATCGACGCCGTCGAGTTGGAATCTTCCTGCAGCTGTGCGATCAAAAAGGGATTTGTCCGCTCTGGATACGTTGTACAACGCCATCATCGACACCGTCGAGGATAGCGCGCCAAAGGGGTCTGAGAACGCACATCCGAGAAACACCAACGCGCTTTAGGAGCGAACCGAGCTTGTGTCGAAGTTGCTGAAGCCAATTAGGCTTCGCCCAAAACCCCGCATATTCGAGCGGATTTTGACTACTGGTAGTATTGGGTAGGCTGGCGAAAACATGCCTATGCCACGAAAAAATGTCGAGCCTGTACGTCGAAGTGCAGAGAGAGCAGAGCCTATCATTGTTCCCGCTCGTGGAAAACAGCTGTTTGACTGGGACGATATGGGTCTAGGCCTTGAGTGCCCTCTGAGCAGTTCTGCATCTGTATACTCTGATTCAAGTTCGGATCAAAGGGAATTTGAAATCAAACCAGTGGCCACTAAACGTAAGAATAACGTTGACCGTGGGACCTTTGAGTGGGTACGCAACCTCATCGACTGTCGGAAGATTAAGAACCAGAGGGCAACCCTTGATGACCATGCTTTTCGAACGACAGGCAAAGGATGGCTGCATGATCAACACAAAGCTCTCGACGAAAACTCAATTCCCGTCACGTTTAAGTGTATCCTCGCTGCCAGCGGTGTGTCAAAGATTTTCAACAGATGCCGGGATGACTTCAAGAAGCCAGAGTACCGCTCCCGGTATTGGTCGTGGTCCGTGAACTTCATTCTTTTGCTCGACTATTTCATTGACCACGGCAACATCAAGGTAACCGAGAAGGTATCTCGGAAGTATCAGCCCCTCTTGTCCTTTCTCGAAACGTGCAAGGAACACAAAAAAGAGGGGATATTGACCACGCAGAAGGAGCAGCTGTTGACTGCCCTCGGGATTGTTTGGCTCAAGGAAGCTTCATCTGATGACGAGGTCTACGTCTCTGACGATGACAGCTTTGATGGGGATAGTCAAGGAGACGAGACTTGGGAAATGCCTACCAAGCACAGGTCATCACGAAGACCAAAAACTGTGTCACAGCGACGTCGCTCAAAGAAACGAGCAAGGGGGTCCTCTTCCGGTGAAGCTCTCCCCCTTGATAGTAGGGATGAAAGTCCGCCGCCTTATCGTACACCAATAATGCAGACTCCCAGGTCCTTGAAAACTTGGGCTCAGCAAATGCTGCGAGTTCGTCGACACTATCGAAAGCAGAGAGGTGAGGATGACTTGTACGACGTACCATCGGACCAGCTTTCCCTTCGGATATGGATGAATGCGGAAACGGCGAGATGCAGCACTGGCACTCTCAGCCAGATATGCTGTGCAATTCTGAAGGCAGCTGAAATGGCCAGCTCAGAGGACGTGGGGCTACTAGATCCGGAAAGCGAATTATGGGCGAAGGGTTTTGTCGCTTTTCTGGATTACGTCATCAGGCAGAAACAGCCTCGCGAAGAAGCTGTGAACTTCCTGTGTGCTTGTAGAAGGGCTGTGTTTCGGGGTACGCTCTCGACCGATCACGATGCTCTCCTACGCGGGGTTATCGAGAATTGGTTTGAGTCCCAAGAGATGAAGACTTGTGTGCGAATCCGCGAAGACGCTCGCCAGCAGCAACTTGCAAATCCCAAGCGACTGGGCAGTGGCCATATTCTGGATCTAGCAGACTTAGACGGTCATGTGTCGGACGAATTTAATGGACATGTGGTAGAAGTCGTATTAGATTCTGGAACATACAATATAGACGAAAAGTTTGATCGCACGAAGCGAAGGAGAACTGCAAAACTCGTGCGGCAAAACCTTTCATCGATGATCGAGGGAGAGGTTGCCATCAACGTTGAGGGTAGGAACCCGACTGCGGCAGAAAGAAATGCCAAAGAATGGGTCCTACGTGCTGGAGCCAAGGACTTCGATGTATATGCCAGAAACTGGTTTCGTGCAGCCAATTCGTACAAACATGGCAATGTCCTTGTTTAAAGTTCACCTTCGTGGTCCATGTCATGCTCGCATAATTGCAAGCGAGATTCTAACCTGATATGCGGCAGCGATGAATCAAACTCATCCGACCGTTGTGATGGAAAGACTTGCGCTGTTCGTTTCCGATAGACGTACTGTACACAGGTGACACTATCATATCCCGAACATCCAACGACACGTGTCAGTTGTTCTCCACGCAACCCTGCATTTTCCGAGCTTTCTGCAAACCGGGAAATACCAAATGTGAAACGCTTCACCATGCCAGGGCTCTGTATCATCATCGATTCGCGAAAATCGCATCTAAACGACTCAGGCTCCGAGTACCGTCCAGGGGGTTTTGAACCGACATTCAAGAGCTTCTCTACGCCTTTTCTGGTATCGGTTGGTCGTCTACCACATGAACCTATGGCCTAGTCAACAAACCTCAGCGATATCATCTATCCAGTGCGTCGATCACCGGCCGAACTTAAACAAATTCTGAAGGTAAAGAGGGATCTCACTTGTCTGTCACAGTATTGTCCTCTGGACCAGAAGTTAATAACTATTGGTATTCAGAGCAATTTATGGAAGAGACCAGATTGATTCGGGAGTTTCTCAGACGAACAGCACAAAATCTCCTTTCCTACTTCACCTCAACTGTTGATTAGCGATTTCGTTCGTTTCAGGATTCAAACAAGTCCAAATATTGATTGAAACGGCTGGTTCAATGGATTAATTTCCATTTGCAATGGATTTCATTTCTCGCTTCAGTCAGGTTCAGTCAGGCCTTAAAGCTCTTCCTTCACTCCGGAAAGTATGCATAATCTCTTCTAACAACGTTTCTGACGCTTTTTCCCAAATTGTTTCTGATTCAGGAAACTGAATCACTTCATCCTAAAACCATACTCTAACAGCTATACAAGCATTTTTGTGACGTGAAATGAAAAACCGGGAAGTCCTTACCGGGTGCTTTCTTCAATCAAAGCAATGATGGATTATTCACTTTGTGCCGACGCCGAAATGTGCGGAATGGTGTCTATCGGGGGGCCTGACACGATAATAGGTCTGACAATCTCAACGATGCAAGTTTTCGTCACCACGGTAGAAGTGTTTGCAACGTGTGATTCATGGTGTGGGATCTTTTGGTCTAAATTTGCCCTTCTCCCATTGCTTAAAAGTAAGTTCACACTGCAACTACAGCTGTTTGCCGAACTGTTCTCATGCTCTGTCAGAAGCTTTGAAACCTTTCGAAAGTATCTCCAAGGTCCCAGGAACTGCTTTCTGGTAATATAAACGTGAATACATTGGTGAATGCCATTGATCTTCGACGTGTTTGCATTCCGGCGTTTTATCTTTTCAAAAGCTTTGAAATCCGAATCAAGCGCTCTTTAAATTGCTTTGTAAGGTTTTCATGAGTCAAACAGATTGTATACTGATGAAGTAGGGCTCGAGTAACCTTTTCGTTCCTTTACATATCGTCGGATTCTCTCACGGAACACCTGACATCCGTAGAATGGGATACGGCATGAAAATATTCTATTGTATGCCATAGAATGCAGCAAACGCCTTTTTGGAGGGTTTCAAGTCACAACACTAAGCTTTTATACCCCTGATTCCACATTCAAGTAATTGTGGTCGACTATGTTGTGGGATTCCTCCTCTCGTCCCTGGGTTGGGTGAAAGGCGGAGGTATTGCCGAGGAGCACGGACAAGAGAGTGGCACACTTGGCTGGTTACATGAAGTCGCTCGGAGGTGCGTATACGGAGGTGGTCGGTAACAGGTTAGAAGCCGGCGCGAATAAACTAACGGAACGGTCGTAGATGAGCGCGAAAGGGACTGGGGTGTGCTACAACCGTAGGGACGCTAATCCGTAAACGGAAAAGGACAGGCTGTACCTAAAATGAGGGAGCTTGGGGGACCGCTACACTGGAGCGTCAGGTAGAATAATCCGGAACGGTAGGAAGCACAGGACAAGGGAGGTACACCGCACTGGACACGCGCAGTCGTACTGGGGTGTAGAGCAGTACGACCGGTGGCGAGCTGGAAACCTGAGGGACTTACTTAACCGTACGGTAAAAGGACTAGGATAGGAAGTAAGGGGAGGCGTGCTCGCCTCGGTTTACCTCCAGCCCGGTGCCCCCCTATCTTATACCCCCTAGTAGGGCGGTGGCACCGGACGGACTACAGTAGCTGTACATACTGTAGCCAGCTTACTGTAGCTTACGGTAACTAAAAATGACTACTGTACTAACCCACCGATCGGTTGCGCACCACGTGTACACCTGCACTAGCTGGTGTCACTAACTACACGTGGACTCCCACGTGGCCACATCTACACGTGCTGGCCACGTATGCACCGTACCGGTTAACATCTTACTACTGTACTTGGCGAGGCCTCTGGCGCCCGCCAAGTACAGTAGCGCCACTTGGCAATTGTACCACACGGGGCAAGCACGTCCTCGTTCACTGTTTCGGACGGGCGTCAGGTCTAGACGCCTCGGACACCTGCCCCAGTACAGCACCTGCCTCCTAGAGCGTCCCAGGTACTGTACAAAACTAAAATACTAGCATCATAACTCCTACATACCGCGTGGATCTTGACACTACACGTCTTCTTTACAGTACACGCGCAATATGTACGAACTACCATACCGACAACACGTGTGCACGTACACCACGTCACGACGGATCGGCACGCGCGGTCGCTCCCTGCACATGGGCACGTCGCCCACGCGTACACCGTACACGTCCGCCAGATTAATAACCTCTTCGCGCGTCGGTCGTTATTCTACATATTTCCTACATAGGGACTTCGGATGAGTTATGATTTGATTTGTTATAAAGAAATGGTTTGGAGCAGACGTTTTGAGTCTAAGGGCCATTTGTAGACACCTTCACTCAATTCGGAGTACTTCAATCATTTCAACTATCTCATTATCACGTTTTAAGGGACCGTTTCATTTTGAACTGCCCTCGAGTACCGTAGAAAGCGTTTTTGCTGCTTCTGGGGTCTTTGGAGACTTCAATGAGTTCCAATGAACTCGTGAAACAGCGAAGCGAAAAGGGCTGTGACGACAGTAAGTTTAATTATTTCAAATTGAGTCCTAATATCCCAAAACCTGTGGATTGTCCTTTGCACTTGCGATTTTTTTTGTCCCTATATCTTCGTGCTCATTACACTTCATCTGATTTTCTTTAACAGGTATTTCGGCGTGTGCACTCCTGCCGACCAGATTCAATTATCTTCATTGGCTTTTATTAGCTTGTCATGTCAATATCGGAGGGCCTCATCAACTCTTCGCCTCACTGAGAGTCGAAGTTCGCCTCCATACGTATCGTGAGATGTTAGGATAGCCGGCACACAGTTTTGCCGACTAACGCGCGCCCTCGAAGCGTACTTGAGAAGCCTTCAGAAATTTAATCCATGCTGCTAGCTCCAGGTACCCTTTTTTCTGCAAATTGAAACTATCCACCGACGAATCCTCTGATTTGGACCCACCCAGCGAGCTGCCAAGAAAAGGAAGCGATCATTAATACAAAAATCTCATCGCATCAGTTCCACGTGATTTCTACGGCTAGCCGCTCTCCATTGCGCAGACCTCACAAAGTAGGCACCTGTTCATTGCGAGAGTCATGACACCCAGACGAATATGCATCACTAAAATCGAGCAACTTGGGCTCCTTGAAGTTATCGTTGAATAAGAATCCTAATTTACGATTTCCTCAGATGTATTGCATTTCTCGTTTCAAATCTGACCAGTGTGAATCACACAGACTGGAAGAATGTTAAGATAGCGACCCGATCGCGTAGGCTAAGTTTGAACAAGTGTTCACCATCAATTATATCGTGCAGCCGACTGCCTCAAGATACAGGGCATTCGTTTCGGGGTCACTGGCACCAGAAATAGTTGCGGCCCGAACTTGTTCCGTTGGGGTCGGAGATGATGTACACACCGAAATTAAAAAAGTTTTCAAACACACTTCACACATATTTTGCATTCGTGATGCTCAATGTTTTGGCAAATCGATCTCCATTAATCTCCACAAAATTGATACCTTTTGCCTCACCGAGATCCTTTTTGCCAAACCGTTAATTGAGCTCCCCCTTCACTCATATGACGCAATCGATGTCACTACCAGCTAGTAACAGACCATCAACATAAATTGCAATCAGCATAATATTGTTAGGTTTCTTTAATTTAGAGACTTGAAACATTACGTGGAGCTTGAATTCCAACTCGCGAATTCAGAAGTCACCTATTTCGGCATACTACTGAAGATGTGCTTGCCCCAGTCCATACCGTACTTTCAACAGTTTATACATGAAGTGGCTTTTGTGTCAATGCACAATTCAGATTACTAGATGTAGGTTTCTTTGTCCAGTCTGCGCTCAATAACTCAGTCAAAATATACACGTGATGAAGCTCTAGATCTAAATGAGCGACCATGGAAAGAAATAAGGGAATAGACGTAAACTTCATAACTGGTGCATCCGAAACCTCTTCTCAAACCTTACCCTTGTTGTCGACACGAAGATCTAAACGTCTTCTTCAGAGTTGAGTGAATCAATTTCGTGTGGGGGAACGTCATGCGTCCCGCATGTCGATTCGTGAAATGTTTCATCCAGTGTCACAACAATGTTATTAAACTCATCCTATATCTTGTTTGCCTTACTATGTTGAGCATAGATGAGAAACATCTCCTCATTAGCACGCAAGTACAGTTTACCGAATTCCAACTTTGACAATGTATACCAAGGTTCTCAAAAATGCACCTAAATGGTCAACATTTGGTGTGGACTTCATCTAAATGTCATGTGGTGTTGTATGACGGGTAAAGTACTTGACGTATCTTGGTTGAGTACATACAGTGAAGTAGCAAGAGCCGCTGCCCAGATTCTCTTCCTGATCTGTCATGGGACAACATCGAGTAGACAAAATCAATGAAGGAGCGATTCAAACGTTGAGCAAGACCCTTTAGATTAGGCGAATAAGCCGCTGTGAGTTTGGGTTGTGTACTG